TTTGGTACAAAACAACAAATAATATTGGCTATTTTTGTTTTTATTCAATATTTCCATACCTAACAAAAGTTTTTTGATGATTTAAATTGAGTAAGTTTATAGATATAGTATTAGGTGGTTCGCTTTGCTCTACATAAGATTTGGAAGTATTTGGTTTCTTGCTTTAACCTTGTATGCAGTCACTGTTAATTTGCTACCTTACGTGAAGCCTTATTTTTATGTTCAATATTTTGTCAAAAAGTAAGTATAAATGTCTTTATCACCTTTAATACTTGTCTCTATTATCACTGTTGTTGTCATTTTTATTAACAATTAGTATGGTATCGTAAACAGTCGAAACAAAAACTGCCTCTTGCCATGAATTTTTCCTCCACTGAACTCACTCATTCTAGCATGTTAAATACCAAAATATATCAATAAATATCTGAATTCCACAGTTGGTTAATCAATAAACACTAATTTAATATGCAATAAATTTATTCTGTATTTCTTCTCAAATCCATTATTTTTCGGCTTCAAAAAGCATAAGTCTTGAAACAGTCAGCTCTCATTACGATATCCTTTATATTAATGCTTATTTTCAGAAGTCAGAAACCCTATTATTTGGTTTTAAATGTTTCCGTATTGCTGTGGAGCGGCCTTATAACAATATTAAGTTATAAATTGGAATTCCCTTTACCTTACTACATAACTCATAACTTATTATTTATAATGCTCTTCATTATTGCATTGATGGCAAGAATTTTACATTTATTGCAATATTGTGGTGAAAATGTACAAAATTAATATTTGAAGGAATTCAGCATTAATATGTGAAGACATTTTTTCATTACATCAGCATACAATTACAAATCTCCTAAAAAATATTTACTGATAATTATAGCTGCTGACTTTAATTTACTCACAGCTGATAATCAGATTATATAATGAAACTGAATTAATTAAATAATCCATTTCATTAAAATTAGTTTTACAGGGGTCGATAAAAACGTATACATATAGGCCACATGGAGTTAATGCTAACTGCGCCGAAAAAAAACAACGAAAACGTCTATTTTCATTTATTTTGTACAGTTATTCAATTCAATTCATTACTTTACCCATGTTTGGTAATTTTTATTTTTATATCAGGGAACGAAACAAAAATCATCTAGTAAATTACTATTCAAGGATCAGAATAAAAAATAAAAAGAGTAATTATTCTTTGTACATTTTTGTAATTTGCTTACTAGCTTTCATCCATTCTTCTGTTTTTTTTTTCATTCACGAAAGTGAACTTAAGTAATTTATTTAATCTATAGCACTTCACTTTATTTTTTAAGGATTTGGTGAGTGTAGGCGGGCAAAAGAAAAAGTTGCGAATTTTGCATATCTGCTATGATTAAATAATTTAACTGGGTGTTTGATGAAGCTAAACTTTGTGATATGTAATAAAATGATAGTAATCGAGATAAATATGAAAGAAAAAGTTATTCGATTCAGATTATTACCTACAAAGATAGGTTGTTGTTTATGTCAAGATTTCGCGGTAAAATTAAAAGTATTCCAGTTCACGTGTCAATTATTTTGTTTTGCATGTGTGTGGGTTGTACATATTCGATACAGCCATCTCTTCTTGAAGAAATAATTCGTAAAATGGTTGCTTTCACTTACGGGGTGAGTGTTTGTGCGTCACTATAATTTAGAATAACTAATGCGCTTTTCTGTGTTCATTTATTTCTACGTCCATTTTATCAAAATTATTATTACTGATACTAATATTCACTCATTTTTTTAGTTCAAAACAATTCATCCTTTTACTGGAACTTTGCTACTACTTTTTATTTATCGTGCACACTATTTCAGTTCAGAATAATTATCATTGCTACAGTCACCATTCTCGCAATTGAACCATACCGTCGTGCAACAATCTCTTTTTTTTCCAGATAAACTTGGATCAGAAAGTTAGGTAATCTTTTGGAAACATTATTCATTATATCAATTCTATCGCAGCAATACTGTATTACTGTATTTTTTTTGCAACTAGGACTCGTTTAGAAGAATAGTATGTGCAACTATTCTTTTCATTTCACATTCATACAATTATTTCATTTCACATTCTATACCTGCAGCGAAAACATAAAAAGTGCTTTTAAGTTGGATACCTACATCACATGCAACTTTGATAAAATCTCTTCAGTTGAATTTGAACAAGTCTACACTGTCTATCAGAAATCACACATTTAAAAAATTGATTAGGTTAATCTACAGAACTTTGAAACCAATCTGCAGTATATGGAGTCCTCAATTTCCAAGCAAAATTTAGGTTACGATAAGCAACAGCGCCTACATACCAGTAACAACTACATAACGATCTAACCCGCATCATCAATGATGGTTTCAACACTCAAATTACTATTTATTTTCATTTGTCAACATTATTCTATTACAGATAAATCTAAAAGACCACATTTACCAATCACTACATGAAAAAATATCTAGAAACCAATCAACACTCACTCGATGATCACAGCTAGCCATCATTAGATAAAGGAAAAAAGCACTGCAAAATTAAAAGTTTTGATAATTTACTTTAAAATAGTATGCGTTGAAAACTGTTAATGGGATTCCACTCACTACCTTCATCACAGATCTGTGATTATTCCTATGCTTACAACAGTTCCCGTTAGAAAACTATCAAATTAAACCCATTCAAATACCCATAAAATCCTTAGTGTGTCCATCGCTCTTCCTTTTCATAGCATGATTGGATTTTTTCTCTCGACCTGCTTATTTATCATCTTTCTACGCAAACATTTGAGTGACGTTTAAAACACCTCAAGTTAAGTCGACTTAATTTTATTATAAATATGAAACAAGCAGTCATAGACGATACTATAAAAGTAAAACCAACAGTATTGGAGAGTGAAATGCATTTTCTATGCACTGAATAAGAAAATTAGTAGACAATAGAAGTAACCCACGAGAAACCGATCCAACAAAAGAATCTGCTACAGTTAGAGCTGCAAATGAGTTTGAAATTCTCTTTTCTGAATCTAAATTAGGTTTGTTTTCCAAAAACATATCTCGGAGTTATTGAAGCAAACAAAAAAAAGATTAATACACTGATTAAATTAATTATATGATTCGTATTTGAAATATGATGATCTCGTGAATCAAGTCCGAAGCAACATATGACAATCTCGAACAGTGGAGCTACAAAGAAAAGAAAGATTAATAACAATACAGACAACTTGACAAAGCCCGCTAATATAGAGTAAATGCAGTGCAACCTAAATCTTCCGATTTACGAAACTATATCAATAGTTCACAAAACTAAAGCAAAAGAGAAAGTCATCGCCCGTATACAACATGTAAAAAATTTAAACTCGTTTCATTTGCAATAACTCATTCACCGCTTGCAAATGAAATTTATTAGAGCAGTAATATCGGTAACAAAAATAACGAAAGTGAAAATATGACACGCAAAACAAAAACCTGGAAAAACAAACAAATGCTGTGTACTGTGAGTTCTATAAACAAAAACAAAAAATGTTTCAGGACACGGATTTGACGATAAAAAATAAAAATAAACTGAAGGAGCTAAAAAACAGCAAACTTTTTTTCATACACATTAATTACTGGCATACATGATATATGTACATGTACATATATATCTGGTATCTCATACACTAAAATCAATTAGAAATTCAACAAATTAGCGTTTTTGCACTAAAGAAAATCATTAAGTACTTTCCTGTGCAAATAATGCCAGTATGCCAGGTATGCTGAAAATTTTTTAGTGAAAAAAGTCGTTTGGAACAGCATGTAAAACATATTGTTACTAAACAAAATTATTACTCACCGACTGCAAAACATTCTGCAAATATTAAAACATATCAAAAATATATTTATAACACACACTAACATGCAGTGTAATCAAAATTAAATAGCCTTACAGAATACTTATTATTTTGTGTTTGAAAATAACGAAAACAACTTGTAACAAAAACCGCATGAGCAGCCTTTTAAATTTAACAAATATAAACCGGCACTACAATCTCATTGTTTTCTAAAACGAAAAGCTTTTTTTTAATATAAAGAAAGATTCAAAGGACTTGAATCTACATTGTCTTTAAGATAACTTTCAGTGTAATTACTTAAAAGTTATCACGACGAAAGAAAGGTGAAAACCTGGCTTTATTGGTGCTCTTATGGATAATGCCTAACAAAATTTTTTGGCTCTTCAAGTAATTTGAAAAAATGAAAGCTTTTGGATGAAAATTAAAATATGCGACATCAGCTTTTAGTAACAACTCATTAGTGAATTCATTTTGATAGCTTCTTGTTCGGATTGACCGCTGAAACTAACTGCTGTGATATATAATTTGAGAGATCATGATGCGGTTGAGTTTGAGGAGACAAAGCATCTACTTCTAGAGGTGATTCGTTTCGTAAGGATTCGCCAACACCACTTAGGTGGCACACACAGCACGCCTCACGGGCCTTCAACAGTGCTGTAACCCTTTCCAATTCACGACGCAATACTTGATTCTGAGTCTACAAAATACTCCTTAATTGTGCAGCCACAAATTTATGAGCAAAACTGCAAAAGTTTATTCAAAATTCTGGAACATTCCTGAGAAAAAAATGTACCAAGAAATGATTCAAAAAATGAATATTTTCAATTTAAAACTGATTAATGTCAACAAGCTAAAGAAGTTTTTTCTGTAAAAGATGCTCAGATGTTAAAGCAAAGACTCTCACTCCCTAAGCAAATCTTTCATTACGCGATTAATTTCAATAACGCATGCCTATAATTATAAAAATTTTGGACAAATAATAAAGTTGCTCACAGAGAGAGCCACTTTTTCCTGCTCGAGCAAATGAACACGAGTAATCATCTCATCATGTTCTTCCTTTTTACGCTTCCGATATCGCACTGCAGCAGCTTTATTCCTTTCCAAAATGGTTACACGACGCTCGTCTGGTGGTAAATCAGCAGTTAAAGAATTTCGACCGCGTCCTCTCCCACCGCGATGTGCTGGTAAAGTCGTTGAACGAGACAGCGCATTTTCCCTGCTATAGCTTAAGATGAAAAACTTTTCTAAATTCTTTGATTAAAAAAAAACATATTTTTGATGATGAAATGCAATATAAGTCCTATTCAGGTGCTCTTAAATAATTAAACACTGAAAGTCAATCAACATATCTTCTTGAAACAACCTTCTTGTTGCCGTTATAAGTGCTTCCACCGACTTGCGATCATCATCCTGTGTGTAAATGACTTCTTCATGATCAAAATATTGTTGGTTCTGTGAAAAATCAATCCACTTCTCCAAAAAGGAACAGACTACTCGTAATAAATAATGAAAGAATAGCGACAAAACAACCAGAAAAGTACCCGGAGATTGTAAGCAAAATAAGGTCATTTACCTATATTCTATTCCTATATTTTTGGTAGAAGGAAGAAATCAGATTTTGGTAGAAATTATACCAACTGCATTGAAGATGGATTTTTGTTGACAATGATAGGTTTGACATCACGTGGATCCCACTGATCGGATGATGACATTTGTAGAACATTTGGCCTCGGAAGATGCGTTACATTAGTTTGTTCTTCAGCGTTAGATGTTGTCAGAAGCTGTAAGAATTTACTTCAGTTCAAAAATAAATTAAAAATTGATCACATAGTAAAAGAACATTCAAACGATCATCAAAAAATATTAAATATTTAAATTTTTTCGTATTTCGACTATTCTGATGAAAATGAAACAAGTTAAAGCAATCTTTCGTTCCCTATCTTGCATAACTACACAACGAAAAAAATTCTTTGAAACAGTATTTTATTAATATCTTTGCTTTCGAAGATTTATAAACGCGTTCGTCAGACTATTCAGTGTTATTATGAAGTTACTTTCAGTTGTCCATAAATGCATCAGCGCTCAAATAATTGTGAGGTTGACTTGATAAGAATGACATGAAAAATTTACTGTTCCCATGGCATTTAAGAACGGAACTGCAGCCACAGGTGCGACATTTGCTGGTGAAGGTACTGTTGTCGCTCGCACTGATAGTCTCTTCTTTCTTAAAGAAATCTTTTTATGAAAAATAGAAAATATGAACTGAGAACCTAAGAATGACACATTTGCGACATGCAAAAAGGATTTTATCGAACGTAATATACATACGGTGTTTGATGAGCAGAAGCTGAACTACCGGGCCTGGAAATATTTGTTGTTGCACTGATAACTGGACTATTCATTGCAGGAATAAGTGGTGTTAAAGAAGCTGAAGCAGATTCCGAAGAACACGGTGAACAAGACAACAGATTTGATGCACAGTCAGAAACACCACCATTTGCAGTTATTGATGTAGATGGCGCTGCTAGAGATGAATCAGAAGGAAGGACCGGAGGAAGTGAAGCAGAGGTTGGTAAAAGTGATCCTAATACCCCCTCCTGCTAAAAAATAGATCACCACCAATTGTTTCGACCAATTTTTCGAAGAATTTAGCAATTCCCGTAAATAAAGACAATTTAGTGGTCTAAAGACTTATAATCAGAATATGAAGATGAAGTACGAATGTCAATGATACGAAAGAACAAGAAAGAAGAGTACGAAATAAACTTAGATCGATTACTGGACTACCACCAATAAATTAATAAAAGAACTGTGATACTTTGTTTTATAGATTGAAGGAACAGTGATAATCACTTCCATAAATTCTTTTTTTTCGCAAAATTAAAATGCTTAAAATTTTTGAAGCAAGTTAAAGTTGTTTGCTCACCAAAGGTGGCGTGGCAGTGCCAGTCATACCAAGAAAACCAAGTGTTCCCAGTCTATCAGAATGCATGTCAAGTACTGCATTAAGAACGTCTGCAGTTCGAGGTGCTTGTCCAGTATCATCGCTAGTTCGAGAACACTGCATAGATAAACCACCATTTTCTTTCATCTAAAATCTTAAATAACAATAGTTTTATTTGCATAAATATTTCGTTCACATATAGATACAATAATAATAGGCTTTACCTGTTGCACCAAACGGGATAAATCAGCACTTTTTAATCCATCACCTTCAAAATCAGCTGAAAGAACATTGATGTTTGAGAAAATTCCAGGCGAATGGGCCAAAGACGATGGTAATTTCAACAACGTTATACCTCCTGTTGTAGGTAATGACAATGTGACTGGGACAAGTCCACTCTGTAAAGTGAAAGAAAAATTGAATTTTAAATAAAATAAAATTTGAATTTGATTATTCTACGCGGATTTCCTCCACACCAAAATTCAAATAAAAAGACTGTGAATGAAAATTCGAATTCATAGGAAATTTGCTTTAAAATTCATCGTGTCTTAAAATTTATGCAACATCAGAAAAGAACGTCAAGAAATAAGGCAGACCTGCTCAAAAAGCTCTTCGCTACATTGACTAATACGCCGATTTGCCTCACGAAACTTCAATTCAAATGGGTTGACAGCTAAACACTTTTGTACGAGCTCTGCAGTTGACGGAAAATCGGCTATAAATAAAATTAAAATGAAATACATTTTAATAATAAGAGTGCCGACTTGAAAAATTTATGAAAATTTCTAGAATTAAACTAGGCACTGAGAATTAAAAGCACCATATAACTTGAAAGAAAATTAAGCCATACAAGAACAAGCCAAAAAATAGCAGATTTAACAAAATTGATGATCAGTAACTAAAAATCCTGAATCAACTAATAGACAACAAGAAAGTCAAAACATATAATCATGTTTCGTGAAAAAATCAGAGCACTCTTGATTAAGGAAGAAAAAATAAGCAAATATAAAATTCAATAAATAATACTTCGGCATACTTATAACAAGCGAATGTAACTTTGCTTTTACATTAAACATACGTGGTAAAGTAGTAGAATTTGTACCAATCATTGATGCAAAATTTGGAGTTTCTAGTGTTACAACATCCACTGATGGATCATCTCGCTCTATCACATTTTCCATTTTTATTAGCTCAAATGTTAAAAATTTCAAGTGGAATCAATATGATGAATCAATAATTTGTTAACTTGACAAACCATTTATAATGTTATAAATACAAGTTAGCCATAGTTAACTACATGACGTCCTTAAAACGAAGCTATTACAGTAATTGCAATAGGTACTTACAGTATCTACATAAACAATCATTCATTAGTGAAGTAAGGAAAATCAATCTTCACCTCATGGATTTTGAAGAAAAAATTAACTACACGACAAGATTCAGCTGTTCTAATCCTTAGGAGAGAAATTACTTACCATTGATCCATTTGTACAAGTCACAGTCACATTGCTTGTGTATTCGTCGCTATCGACATCAGCCGAACAAGAAAAATGTGTCACCTTCAAATTTTACAGCTGAAATCGTTGAAATGTTAGTAAAAAACATAACCAATAGAATATCTATCAAGAATGAACATTTCGTTGCTGGAAAATACAAATAAAAGAAGAATGTACAATAATCATCGGAAACGAAACTGAGGAAATTTAGTTCACCAGTGATCGTAACTATCTTAAAATGCATAGAAACTGTCAGACCTCACTCAGAGAACAAAATCTTGCTTATATTTTAAAATCCAAATGTCAATAAACGCTACAGAAAATATACAGATTTACATCATCATATTCATGTTGATATCACATAAGAAAACTTTCAACAAAAAATTCTTGGGAAAGTCGATAAATAAAAAAGCTCCCTTGTTAATTCTCTACAATATGAAGATAGTCATGCTAACATCCGCAAGACGATAGTAAATCATAGAGATACTATAAAGTCATAATCCACGAACAACACTGACAAAAGATACAAAAATTCTGCATATATTTAGAATATCGTTTCCGAAACTGAAAATTTGAAATGCATAAAAAATTGAAACCCATAGCTATCTTTTATGCACTTCATAAACCTAAAAAAAATGAACGAGGATAAAAAATTTTAAAAATAATCTTGAAATACCCTAACACCAATTAGAGCCAATTAAATGGTATGTGCCTGATAAATAAGCGAAAATGTTAGTATCCGCATTCTTTATTAGACTCAATAAATAAAATGGACTAAGGCAAGTAAGCATTTATCGTTATTCATTCCGATTTCACGCAGAATGAATGTTGTAAAAACTTGTTTAACTCCGTCAATATGACACTTTATCATGTTACTCTTTCTTTAAAACTATATAATTTTTATATCGTTATTTGTAAAGCGATTTTAGGTCAAACTCCGTCTTCTGATTGGTATTTTCAATTCTAACACATTTCTCGACGCTTCATTTCATTCATAAAGGCATTAATTTTCGCTTCATCTCATCGCATGCTGACACAAAGGACTTTCAAACGCGCCGACTCACCGCAACAACACAACTGAGAGCATGTAATTTTCAAGACTTAACTATTATTACATTTTCGACAGCACTCAACCAAAATCATACTTTTCAAATGCATACGAATCTCTTCTCATTATGCACATATATATTTCTTGTCTACTTCACATACACACTTCTTTTTCTCATTGCACACTGACAAATTTAAGACGAGTTTAAACCATAGTTGAAAATAATGCTATACAGAAAACTGCGAAAAGAAAGTAACCGAATCTGAACCCTCAATTCCTCACATCCCATTTCATTATTTTCTTATTGATCATTGACTTAAAATATATTGAAATAATTACCTCTTCGATTGAACTCAATCTACATGAATATACTGATAAATAGCGGACTAAGCTGCAATCTTAACTTCCAGACTTCAAAGAAATTTACATATTATATAAAGAGAAACTGCAGCAATGCAAACTTTACACAGTACCATCTCAAATATTAGCGAAAAGCACATCTAACAACTACCTACTGCTGCTTGTCCTCCCAACTATCTATCAAATGCTTGATATGTTTCCTAATTTAAAAAAATTTCTGTCAATTCATGAACAAAAGTCCAATCTTTTGACTTGAATAATCCGAAAAAATCATTAAAACCAAAAGCACGATTTACTTAATTTAAAATAAATAAATAAATAACCCAAATTCTATCAACAACTGATATTGAAAAAGGCCGAAATTAACGGCTTGAACCCAAAATACTACAAAAGGTCAATTCAGAAAATTTATTTTCGACAATATAAATAACAAAAATGTGAACGTTCAAGCAAGATATTATGATACTTATCACTGTTCTTGTGAATGTGGTTCTGGAATTCGAATATCATCGATTTTCAAAATCATGCGCACAACCTAAAAAGTTAGAAAAAAATAAAAAGATGAACTTTACCATATTTATATACACCAAATTATTATCAAGAAACCAAAAAATACTTTTACTGGAATTTGGAAATACATTCAAAATAGTAAGAAAAGATGAATAAACATGCCTGCGTAGCAAGCGATATCTGTGCCTTTTTCGATAATAACGTTTCCATAACTTTTTGTTTTTCCATATCTGAAAATTTCTTTTAAATTGAAAAAATTTAGTAGGTTGTACCCATTATGAACATGCAACATAACGTTTTTTGCCCAAAATTGTTTATAAACCCATAATAACAGAGTTCAAAACTACCAAGGAATAATATTCAAAACATACTTGCAGGAAATGATGCTACATATCTAACTATAAGTATACGTCTTGATGATTATTCGGAATTTATTCTAAACAACGCCATTTATAAGATTTACATTCTTTGGAAGATGCATATGGTTACTGGTAGCAACTTTTTACAACCAATAACCATATGATTATTTAAAATTAACTCACCGTTGCAACCAAAATTAGTGCAGTCAACACCCAATTTTGGATTAGACTCTTCAATTTGTCTTGCTTTGAGATCAGTCACTGTATCAAGAGAAGAGAGGCCAGAATTTTCAGCCAAGACTATGGGAATGCTTTCAAGAGCATCCGCAAAAGCACGGAACGCATACTGTTCGATGCCTTCGATCTAGATATTGAGTTGGATATAAATTATATAGAAAACTTGTTTTAAAGATTAAATTAAGAAAAAAAAAACCCTTAAAATTAAAAAGGTTAACTATACTTTATCTGCTTCTTCTGCAACAGCAAGAGAACAACTAATTTCAGGAGCACCACCTCCATATACAATGCGATTATCTTTGATCAAATTTCGCACAACACAAAGTGCATCATGTAAACAGCGTTTTGACTCCTCGATCATCATTTTATTACCCCCGCGAATAAATACAGTCACGGCCCGATTATTTGGACATTCTTCAATGCATAGCATTCGATCCTGTAACAATAATGAATATTTACAGGATTTGAACAAATTACACGCATATTAAGAACGTCAATTAAAGTAATATAATCCCTCAAGTAAAGTTGATAACAAAAGTTACAGCAGTATTCTTCGCATGATTTCTTTAAATATAATACAGATGAAGAAAAATTTATACTAATATTAAATTATGATGCTAACAGTGATTAACTGTCAACATTGTGATTTATGTTTCATTAACTGACAATGTAGTTTCATTGCTCAATAACATGAACATGCTTTTGATATACTTTTAAAAATTTTAGATTAAACACAGATAATGCTTACTTTCGCTGTTCCGAATGATATTTCGCGAACTTTGCCTGCCCTGCCTAATTTTTCCGGCTTTATTTCAGCAAAACGTGGAATAATGCGACCATCAGTAGCAATTGCTATTAATTCAATTTCTGGTCCACCAACCCATCGAACAGCTGGAAGATTGTGGGCAAGAAGGAGGTGATTTGCCTCATCGTCGAATCCCCACTGACAGATAGCCAAAGTTGCACCACTATCTTTCACCTGAAAAACTTTTTAGCTGAAATTACAATTGATTATTTAATATGAAAGGGTAATGATAAACTCCTGAAAACCATTATGCACGAATATAAGATGGTTAAGGAACTCACCTCACTGATCATTTTTTCAAATGTTTTCCGTTCATACTCTCGTAAGTTCTGAAAGTCTTCTGTCGATGAGATATCAAGCTTGTGTTTCGTTTTCGGTTTCGGTGGCTCAAATGGACATGTAAGTATAGCAATCTTGGCATTTGTTAATTCCTAAAACAGTTTATAGCTTGTGATCAACTCCATGAACTGAAAAATAAAGATGATAATGAAAAGTAAATGCGACGATAAAAATTTAATTGATAAGAACTTTTAAGAACAACAGACATTTTGTGAGTCTAAAAAAATGCGCAAACCTTGGGCATTTGAGGGTGGCTCATCGTTTTGTCAATAACAACCCCTTTAACTAAACAAGTGTCTTCTAGTCTTCCTCCAATTTTACCCTCAATTTTGATAAGTTCAAAATCAACATCTTTTTTCTCCAGATCTGCTACTGACATTACAGCATCTACAGCAATTTCCGCGAGTTGTCTCATACAACGATTAACACTGAACCAAGTTAGAATTATGAGCTAATACCAGACCAAAATGATAAAAAAACAGTCTTGATGATAACGAAGAAAGAATCAAGGAAATGGCTAGAAAAAAATTGATCTAAAATTTCAAGACAATAAATGTCAATGGCAAGTTTGAAACAAATTGTTGAAAAAGAAAAAGAACTTTACATTTTCGAACCCAAGGCAGTAACAGCCGACTCAACAAGTAGCTCACGGTTATGAATAGGAAAGGTGTGGGAAATTTCCTCCAACTTCATCACTGCTTTTTTGCACGCCATATCAAAACCATCAGCTATTTTGATAGGATGAATACCTTTGTCAAGCAGACTTTCTGCTTGCTCTAATAAAGCTCCAGCCAAAACTAGAAATGAAAACTTGATAAATGAATACAATAAGATTAACAGGAAAGTGAAAACTGATGTATTATGTATTTAATTTGAATGAGAAAACTCACTGTAAGACAGAATATCTTAGATTTAATTTACATTTCATGAAACTAATAAGTTAAAATTTACCAACAACACCTGTCGTACCATCACCTATCTCATCGTCTTGACTTTTTGATAGTTCAACCATAAGATTTGCAACATGATGCTCAATATCCATTTTGCTCATAATCGTCGCACCATCGTTAGTAATCGTAAGATCTCCATCACTTGAAACAAGCATCTTATCCATACCACGCGGTCCCAAAGATGATTTCATGATATTTGCCACGGCACGTGCAGCCAAAATATGACTCTGAATCAAAAAGCATTTTTATGACTTGAAAAACCAATGAAGTAATTTAATTAAAACTGATGGTGTGCAAAGATTATTAGCTGAAAAAAAAACTGAAAAAAAACATAACAGAGCATATCATAAAGAAAAGCATATTTTTCTTCTATCTCAATCATAAAAAACTTTCCTCCACTAACCTTTAAAGCTTCGATACCCGTTAAACGTTTCTGTTTCTCTTGATCACGCAATAAAATGAAAGGATGTCCAAATTCATCAAACAACACCTGAGCGAAAGCAGTTTGCGGCGCCATTATAGTCCTATATTTAAAAATCAACAAAAATTTGCAAACAATAATAAAAAATACACAGCAAAATTCCTTATTAAATGTAATAAAGATGCCTAGGCTTAGACTACATGTCACCACAGCATTGCAAAAATTTACAAGCCAACGCCAATCAGGTAATAATCCACCAAAGCTTTGAAGAAGTCTATCAAATGATGTTAATTAAACACAGATATTAATGTACTACAAAATACACATAATAATCATGTGAAGAGAAGAAAATGATTGCCAAAAATGAGCTTCAATTTTATCACAATGACAGTACGCTACTTCATTAAGAACCAGGCAATCATTATAGCACACATCAAACACTGTGAAAACTTATCAAGCAATGTGCAGCAACGCAGAATACTGCCATTACTCATTCAGTGCAATAAGAAAAAGTGAGGCTGTAAGGAGAAAATGTGTAATGCAACACGTGCATACAGAGACACGCACACGCACTCACTCACGCATACACACACACGCACACATAACTTGTGTGCTGTTGCAGTCAAGGGTTAGTATTCGTTCACACTTGTATCGATTTGCCATCTCTAACCCCACCATTCTACCCTTGCATACACTATATAAATAGCCATCCTGCTACCGATTCTTTTTTTACATATTTGAGTATCGGTGAACGCAATACAGCTGTTCATAACTTGAAAGCACTATATTCATCACTCTATAATTGTGTTACTATACATGCACATTTTGCCTACATCACCAATCTACATACATGTACTTTGATGCGTGCAATCTTACGTGAGATTATAAACGTACTTTGTAAAAGTAAAGATGAGAATAACTTTCAGAGGAAATACCACCAAACTGTCTAGTACCTGCCATAATAAATACAAAGGAATCGATTATTGTGTAGCATACATTTCTTGCGTCTTCTCGAAAAACACTGACATCTCTCTTACATCCACAAATCATTTCAATAATAATACGCCTCTGGCTTATGCAACAATTGTGCAACAATTTCGTGCCAACATATAAAGTACACGGAAAGTACAATTCTGACTAGTCAATATCTTAGAGAATTCGCACACTCATCGCTATGTGATTTCCTGAAATACATAGTGACGTTTGGTAGAGTTATTCAGTTTTTGCAGTACTATAAGTAATTTCCGCAGTTGTGTGAGTATGTTACCTTTCCTCTGCCCCCTCTCCCTCTTCTGTGACGATAGTAATGAGGAGGAGTACAGGAGATAGCACATGTTAGGTACGAAGTTTAAGTTATTGTGAGTGAATTATCTGGAAAGGCTACTCACCGAAGTGACAGCTTACACTTGCCTCTAAGCATATTTAATTAATTTGAAATGTGAAACGAAATCCGGCCTTTTTACTGCTTAACGAAGCTATGACAAGTGAGTTATAGGAAGGGACTCATTCCGTTGAACTTTGCACTGACGAACGAGTTCAAGCTGACATCCAAGCAGTGTCGAGCAAATCTATCCGTTCACTTACTAATTTCAATAAATTGGAACAAGATATACTTTTCAGTTATGATGTGAGAGGCGAGACAATGCAAGACTTATAATTGTTTATCTATGAAATTAACCCTGGGGAAAATGTAATCGTGAATAAAGTTGCAATGCCGATCAATGATGATACTTCTTGCATAGACACATGATTTAGCGTCTTAATTACTCCTAATTTTTTTACGAACTATGCATTACTGCGATTTTGCATTGAAATCGGTTTCGCAACGATTCCTCGTAACATCCATGTTTGACCTTTGATGTAGGAAAAGCACTCAACTTATCTGCCATAATCCAAATCATTATTAAATTATCAAGTTATTTACCCGAGCATATTTTGTGTTGATAACATCAATCTCATACTGATCATTGCACTTCACGTAATTATATAAACGGTTTTGCTTTGGATATGAGTGAGTTCCGTACATTTCCCTTATACATCGGATTGACTTCTCAGTTAACCATTTTTCTCGTAGTTTTTGTGAATATTTATGCAAGCGTTTAATTCCTCCTGATTACGCTTCACAATTTTAACTCAAGTCTGGTGAATTCTGTAGTATTCTGGATCAAATATAATGCTTAAGTCCTATCTTATTTGAAGTACTATGATCTGGAATTCACTGTGATATGTACAGATCCTTTTTTAAATAATCATTTGTTGATTTGAAAAATTCTCCTAAAATGCTATTAATCGTACTTTGGTTTCGTCTATGCGAAATTTAATTCTTTTAAAACAGGAAAAGTACTGAAACCCTGTAACAAACTGTCCAATTTTCGGATATTGCTTGATATGTGTTACCAGCGAATACAATAGACTATATGTAGCGAAAACTTCACTTCCATTATGTTTTCAGATCGTTTAAACATAAATAATTTCAATTTTCAAAAATATTCAAGTAATGGAATCTATATTGCTTTCTGAATTTAGCTATAGGTCAAAACTTTGGACATTCCGAACATTAGAACACTTCCCATTACTTAGGAAGTAATTCTGTATAATGGGCTCGGAAAATTTTTCGACTGTATTAACAAACCAACACTATAAGTAAATAATTTATTATTACTTAAAATAATGGCTAAAGTGCGAGTACACCATTCAAACTACAAGTTTAGAATCTTTAAATTATAAGAAACACAAGTGACAAATCACGTGGTAACGTTCTCCAAGCAAATCAAATCTGATCATAGTCTTCGTCAAGACTAGTCAGTAATAAGTTTACCTCTAATGCCTATCCACGTAAATGCATCAAAGAGTACTCTTTAGGACATCAAACACACTGCTGTCATTCACCACCACTTGAAGCATAATTTCTCTACTTTGTATTAACTTCACTCGCCATGAAAACTTTCCTCATGTTATAGGTCATGATCCTTCATTTCTGAAAACGGTTATTGAGAAATGGCTGTAGTTTAGATTCTACTTTATCGCTTACCACAAACACTGGATTTACCTACACTGGCATAGAGTTTAATAGTTAATAGGACTGAAGTATGTACATGATAGCGCGATGAACACGAGTTTTTCTTTAGATACGATTTCCATTGACAAGTTCAAACAAATACATTACAAGCTCAATCAAAATGAAGAGATATTACATAAAACCTTTATTTTTAAAATAAAGAATACAATAAATGTACAACATCAGGGATTATACATTACTCAGCTTTGATCAGTAGTGAACAAACCAACACTATAAGTAAAATAATTTATTATTACAAAATACAGAAAAAAACAGTCAACATTCAGTGCAAACTAGATAGTAACGAAAAATGGCTGAAGATAAGCATGGGAAGTTTTATTTTGGTGCTAACATATTCTCGGGTCGCACCCACTTATCGAATTGCTCAGCTGTCAGAATTCCTAGTTTCACAGCCTCTTCTTTCAAGGTTGTGCCGTTTTTATGAGCCGTTTTCGCAATTTTTGCAGCATTGTCATAACCAATGTGAGGATTTAATGCTGTCACTAACATCAGTGATTCACGCAGTATTTTGGCAATGTTTTCCTGCAACATGATACGCCCAACTATGAAGGAAATTGCAATTTAATATAAAGAGATCTATGTTTCAAGATATTTAACATTCAAAACTTTAAAAATGAACGATCAAAAACCTTCCGAAACTTCTAATCGCATCTGACAATGCGACGTTATTTGAATAAGCATAAATAATTGCAATGAGAGCCGGAACTACCTTATTGGCTTTAATACCATCAACACAATTGACTGCGAATGATACACAAGAATCAGCAATAAGTCGAGTCGATTGAAGGACATTACGGACAATCAGTGGCTTGAATACATTCAGTTCAAAGTGCCCATTTGAGCCCCCAACAGTAACAGCAACCTGGAACTCAAATAGTGAGCAGCTGTAATTTTCCTAACATTTTCGCAGACCCTGCAGTTATGCCTTTTAAACCACGTTTGTGTCTGGAAAGGCAAAAGGCAAGCTTGAAAAACACACCTGATTACCAAAAACCTGAGCAGCAACCATGGTCAGTGCTTCACACTGAGTTGGGTTCACTTTACCAGGCATGATCGAACTCCCAGGCTCATTTTCTGGTAAAGAGAGTTCTCCAAGACCACAGCGAGGACCAGAACCAAGAAATCGTATATCGTTTGCAATTTTCATTAAACTGGCAGCAACTGTATTCAGAGCACCATGCACCTATTGATAGCTTATGTTACAATGATTCTTACAAATTTTATGAACATTATGGTCAAACCACACTTTTAATCAAAATTATAGGAGAGTCAGGTAGTAAGGGTTCCCATTAATTGCATTAATAATTAAATTCTCTTCCCCAAGGCATACATATATAACAAAAATTCAATTTTTGATTAAAAATAAACATAGTTTACTTCAATCATTGCGTCATGCGCAGCTAATCCCTCAAACTTATTTGGAGCTGTAACGAATGGTAAACCAGTCAGTTCCGCAATCTTTCTGAAAAATGTAAAAACCGCAGTTAAGCAAGTCATTCAGTTTAGAGTCAAGTCAAATGAATGCAAACCTAATCTTGGAACTCTTTTGTAAGGTTGTTAGTTAGAACTCAACTGCCCAATTCAGTATATTAGACTTTGTTCCGCAAAGTAATAGTGAAGTACTTAAATGTAAAATTATATACTACGAAAAACATACGCAGCAACTTTTTCAGCGAAACCAACTCGTGTGTTAAGTCCGGTACCAACTGCAGTACCTCCAGCTGCAAGCATATACAAACGAGGTAAGGTATCTTTTACACGTTCGATGCCATTTTCCATCTATAAAATGATACTACAGCTTTTCATGCTTTTCCGTCAGTATTTGCAGATTATTTTCTATGTCAGCATCAAGCTCATTTCAGACCAATAAAACTGAAAAACAATGACAAAAAAAAACAATCTTAAGATTTAATAAGATTTTACGTAATGATAATAAATGCTGCGTAAGATGAAAAACCTGCTGAACATAACCACTAAACTCCTGGCCCAGAGTAAGTGGAACCGCATCCTGAGTATGTGTGCGTCCAATTTTAATGATGTTTTCGAATTCTTTTGCTTTATGTTTCAGTGAATCACGTAACTGTTTTAAGGATGGAAGTAAACGAGAATTAACTTCTCTAAATTATTGACTTTTGAAAAAAGTGAGCCATAAACAATATAAGAATATGTAAAACATTTTGATAATAAAAATACAAATTATAAAATTCTGACTGCGACTGATTATGAAAATATAATCTCGATCCAAAAAGTTCATTCTACAAAAATATATAAATTCAAGTTCTTATTAATCTCATATTAAACTCAGTGTGATGCTGTTTAATATGTATCTCTACTGTATATACGAAAGTCCCCAGCTTAACAAAAAAATATTATTTTCATTTTCTTCTTCCTTGTTTGCAGCTCACAAAAAAAACTGTTTCTGCCTATAACGTCCATGACATTAACATCTATGATGCACACAATAATGAACGACCATTCACTGAGAGAAAATCACATCGCACTCATTCTAATTTTTAAAAAAATGACAGTATGACAAGTTTGATAAGAAATAACCTAGCCACAGCAATATGCATAGCTGTTGGGTAGGTATCATTCGACGACTGCGACATGTTTACATGATCATTCGGATGTACAGGCTTCTTAGATCCTAATTCACCACCCAGCATCTCGATTGCGCGATTCGATATTACCTCATTCACATTCATGTTAGATTGAGTACCAGATCCCGTCTGCCAAACAACTAATGGAAAGTGGTCATCTAATTTTCCCGCGATAACTTCGTCTAAAATTATTTAGCAAGTGAACAAGAGTAATTGATAGACTAAAGTCACCAAAATCTAATACATCATACATGAAAAGTGTAGTAAAATTATTATAAAGACCATAAAATTCATATATTTTTTATTGGATGGCTTATAAAACCTTAAATGTTGGATGTGATTAACAGTTCTTTTTTAAAACAAAAGTTCTCTCAATCAATAAAAGAATAAGAAATTTCCAGATCTGTAAAATTCTTAAACTAAGTACAGTCCACAGTATATAAAATATGAGGTTTAAATATTTACACTTGTAGTTATGAAAATCGTGGCATCAAGCTCTACCATCTGAAAAAACGAACTCTAGAAAAATCTAAAATTAATGGATCATATTTGCTTCCATTAAAAATTTTCATAACTGCATCTAAAATAGTGGATGTAAAAAAATATCACTGGAGTGAAATTACTCTTCTTACTAAAAAAACTGCCTCACTAAATACAGGCGAATTCTTCTGGCAAAATGAGATCCGGAATTTCATATTTCTTGAGATAAAGAAAAAATAAAGAAATAAGTAAATAAATTTAGACAAATATCAGATGCAGAAATGATATGAATGGAAATATTATCAAGGACAGTTTACCCGCCGCTTTTGATATGGCGTCAACAATTTTTTGATCTAAGCCATATTCTTTGTTAACTAAAGCAGCTGCTTTTTTAAGAATACCGAATGCATGAATAACTGGCAAAGGCATGCGCTCTTCGGGACCTCCAATTTTGAAGTTCATCATAGATCTAAACAAATAATAATCGGTATGTTGATAAAATTTATAGTATATGTGAGCAAGTACAATAAAGAAAGTAGTGTTTCTGAAACACTAATTTTTCTGATGCATTAGCTGGAAAGTCACATCTTATGAGTAGAAAAGTGCAAAAGTAGTAAAAATACTAAATAGTTGGAATGAAAAGACAAAAATGTGAAAAGCACTTCAAATAAGAACTAGTAGGAGAGTCCACTGTTACGGCAGTACTAATGCCGTGCTTTAAGGTCATTAACTTATCATCAGTACTAAAGGAATGAAAATTAGAATCTACAAACTGTGTATGATTCATGCCAGTCATATTATGCATACGACTAATCTCTTTAAACATACAAGAATAGCTGTTCTTGTTTTTTCATAAAGAATTTGTTTACTGAAAAAATGAGTGGTCAAAAGCAAAAATGTAACCTGGCAGTTTGGGCTCCATAATAGCGGTCTGCTGGTACTTGCAGCTCACCAAAAGTGTCGCGTTCTTTACGTATTGACCCCATGTTACGTGTAAAGGAATAAGAAGTACTACTAGGTATGAATTGACCACGTGAAGCAAGAAAACTGAAGGATTTAATAACAGTTCCACTACACAATCGTTCAGCACCTAATAAAATTCGCGTCAGCATTGATTACGTTTCCAGCAACACGTGGAAAGCAAGCGCACAATACAAGCAGGAACAACAACTGTAAAATTACCACTGATTGATAAAATGTACTAAATGTGACATTGTTTGATAGTTAACGACTTCAGACTTAACACTGACATCTCTAAGTAACAAAAACAGATCAGTTGCAGATATTGTATGACTGAGAAAGATAGAGAGTAGTGATCGGTGACTACAGGCTAAGGCAGTCTAGACTCGAACAGTAACAAGTGTAGGGATATCTAGAGAACAGTGGAGAATAACGATTTTCGCTTCAGGTCGCACTAACAAAGAGAGCAAGAAGTATCAGTCATCAGTTAGCTTGCACAGAATCAGAGCACAAGACACGAGTCGAGAGGACGAGAATGAGAGAAATCGAGCAGACGAAAACGTAAGTGGACTGGATACAAGTAAGGAGTGCCGAACACTAATCACTGCCGAACACTAGTCAATTAGCAAAACGCAAGACATAATGTTGAACTAAGAGAAACAAGCAAACATGATGCGCAATGATGGGACGGTGGAGAGACTTAGAGAGATGTGTGTTAGCAAAAGGAAGGCATTTGACAAACCCCAAGTATTTGATGAATGAAACAGAACAGAGCAGAGCATTGGTAGTAGTGTAGCATACATTTGAACTCATGACCCTCGGAGTCTGGCATACATACATACCTAAAGATACTTACTATCTGCGAAATAGCACAAGAAAATAAGGGTTAATAAACAAGACACACAAGATTTGACCATGGAAAATAGTGCCAATACGAAACACAACCGACCGATTCGACGGAACTTATAATGTACTAGTAATAGCTGCTTTTATGCTGCTGTATGAGAATTAGTCTTGTAGCGATTGCTGAAAATTTGAATAAGAAAAATATGCGTTAAATTTGCATATTATTTAAATTATGATTTTTGTCTATTTTAATTTAAAAGGAGGAGGAAAGTGATATTTGTCATTCATTGCGTGCATCCTGTGAGAACATGGATATAGGAGAGTCTGAAGAATCAAAAAATCTTCAGATTCAAACAAAGAAGGGTGAGATAGTATTATTTCGCGTTAGAGCTCGCTGTAGTAATGCTAGTGCAAATTCTGATTTAAGCTTGCAACGTAATTAATCCCTAGTGCGTTATGTTAATAAATGTTATGGTATTGCTTATATAAAGCTGTAGTGAATGGGTCTGCAAAATATGTCATTATAACTGAAGGTAATGAAGCATGAATAGTTGAGTGTACTGAAACTCTCACAGTACTGAAATTGGGTTGGATTTTGGTGCGGCTTAAAGTAATAGTGACTAGTGACGGGAAATATTTGCATTACACTTCATATTAGGTAACTTTGAGTGGCAGTTTTCATGACTTAATGTCACATCACATTAAAATTTGCTATTTTTCGTTTGCTGCCTTTATATTTTATGCGCTAAAGTACTATCAGAACTGATTTTCAGGTCTTTAATCTTTACCAGCCTTTTTTAAAATTAATGAATATGTCATCGTTAGTTCTCATCGTATACTTTTATTCTATTACCATCACTAATCACCTGCCTCATATACTATGATCTTGCATAAAGATTGAACATCACTGAAATCAAACAATTTTTAGTTTTCCTTGCATAATTTTTGTGTTCATAAAGTCTTTATCTCAATATATTGTCATGATAACACTTGCATAGTTCTAAATTTTTATCTTCCGTATTCCTTTTTCACATGCATTTTTGTTTTGTACTTCTGAAAACTTGTATATTGAAAACTTTCAGAAAGAATAATGACAGATGTTATCCCGATTAGGGTAGTCGTTCGTGTACGACCGCTCAGTAGTCGAGAAAAAGCAGAAAATTCTCAAGAATGCGTGCAGTGCTTTGTAGAACAAAATCAGGTATAGCGTTTTCACTTGTTTGCTCATTTTGTTTCTAAGTCTCCAAGTCTCAAGTCTTAGAGTGTGTTTAGTTCTTATTTTAGATAGCTATTAATGGGAAGATGTTTGCCTTTGATAGCGTATTTGATCCCAGCACACTACAAGAAGTTGTTTACGATATCTGTGCTGCCCCTCTGATTGAAAAAATATTTGAGGGTATCGTTTTTGTCGATTTAGTAGCTCTGTCAATACTAAACGTTAAGAAAATAAAAAACATTACTCTTAATCTTCAAAATTGGTATAAAGAGTGAATAGAGTTCATTTGTGAAACTATAAAAAGAAAGTAATTGTCGGTCTACTTGAATAAAAGTTAGCAATATCGCAAATTTAGGCTATAACTGCACCATTCTTGCATATGGACAAACAGGCAGTGGCAAAACATACACAATGGGTAGCGAAGAAGCGTCGGTTAGAAATCAGTTTTACTTATATTTATAAAGCAATGCATTTAAAAAGAAAGAGGTTTTATTTTACTAATGTCGACAAATTTTAGAAGTTATTGTTCATGAATTTTCTGATAAATTTTTCAAAGATTTCATTACCCAAAATTTTTAGTTATAACATAAATAAAGTAAAGGGAAAGATTTCATTCATCTGCAGAAAAAAATTTGGTAATTTCAATTGAGATATCGTTATGCGAAGGGAATCAGTTTGTAGATGGACATGTCGATTGAAGAACGTGGTATCATTTCACGAATAGTTGATTCTATTTTTATGGAAATCGATGGCTCAGAAAAGTATCGAGTTACGGCATCGATGCTTGAAATTTATGAGGGGAAAGTTATGGACTTGCTTTCTATTAATCGGCAACGCCTTCATATTCGGGAATCGAAAGGAGTTGTTTTTGTATGTGCATATTTTGTCATAATTGAAATTTGGCATATTTATAGTTAAAGTTCTGTTTATATATACTATAGCTATTAATTTCTATGAAATCATGATCTGTAATTTTGACAATTTTTTTCAGGTACAGGGATTATCTGAACATCCAATTAAATGTCTTACAGACGCATTAGATTTATTGAAGAAAGGGTGCCACATGCGAAGTAAAGGAGAAACGGCAATGAATGACAAGTCATCACGTTCACATGCCATTTTCACGTTGTGTATCGAAAAAAACGAATCAGATAATAAGTCTGAATTTTACCAAGCATTCCACTCTGTTTTACCAAGCATTTTATCAATTGAAAAATTGTGCTAGTTGTGTTTCAGTGCAAAACTAAAGTCAAAATTGCATCTCGTTGATCTGGCTGGTTCGGAACGTTTGAAAAAAACTCAAGCTGAAGGAGAGAGAATGAAAGAAGGCATAAAAATTAATGAAGGTTTACTAGCTTTGGGAAATGTGATTGCTGCTTTGACAGACCGGAATACCAGTTCTCGTCATGTCCCATACCGAGTCGCAAAAATCACGCGACTTCTTCAGGGTTACACTTATTATTGATTTTGAGATTTTTGAAATCTAGTTTCAGTGCTACTAATAATTTTCGCACACTACTTTCAATAACTTTGATACTATTCCATTTGGGATCATTGTAAAATAATTTAAAGTTGCTTTGCATGATAATTTTTTGTGCTTTGACTATCAGTAATAATTTTGGAAATTAATAGTTTTAGACTCACTCGGAGGAAACAGCTACACTGTGATGATAGCATGCATCTCACCAGCTGATACAAATGCTGACGAAAGTTTATCAACACTTCGATATGCTGATAGGGCAAAACGAATCAAAAACAAACCAACTGTGAATATTGACCCGCACATTGTTTTGGTACAAAGTTTAAGAGATGAATTAGCAAGTGTAAAACATGAATTGGCAACGTTGTATGCGAAACAAAATTTTGGAGACAAGCGAACGTAAGTTTCTGCATTGTGCTAATTGATATAAAAAGTGAACTAAAAAAGTATTCTCAATTTGCTGCAAATAAAATGGAGTGTATATATATATATATATAACATTAACAGTTAAGTATAGTTAAGTTTTTGTTCAGAGACGAGACACAAACAAAATGCCCCAGATGCGAAGAATTAGAGGCGGAAAAGGAATTGATTCGTAGGGATCAGGATTGCCGAAATTTATTTTTCGCAGAAGCAATAACACAAAACTCAAAATTGGTCGATCAGTTCATAGCTTCACAGCAGATTATTGAACAGTTCAAAAGTCATATAAAAGAAATAAAGTAAATGTTTTGCTTTAATTAATCAAAAAATGAATGTGCAAGAAATTTTGCTCTCATCAAGAGTTTCAGAAGCAAAATTGACAATAAGCAATATGATGAAGCTTCGGAGATTCTGAGTTCGGCTATGAAATCTCGATTTCCTGTTGAAGAAAAGCAGCGAGAAGTATTAGATGTATGAAAGAATTTACTTTGTCAAATTTAGTTGTAAAATATGTATATATATCTTGTTAAAAAAAAAAAGTGGCAAATAGTACTTGATAATAATATTAGTTTTGCAATCTTTAGAAATTTAGGAATTTTCATAGAAGTTGTTTTGAAAATATTATTAAAGGATGGTTCTATATCAAGTATTTGGGCCAGTGTGGGTGATGCAGATGATGAAACGTCTGATCAGGGTTTTGTCAGTAATTTCACCGAGAAGCAAATAGCGCTGAACAAAAATATGACAAATATTCTGGAAGAAATCAACCAAAAGGTTAGACTATATATATATAGTATTAGGTTAGACTATATATATATATATATATGTTGTTAATTATTGATTTCAGTAAAAATTTTATGTGCAGGAGCTGGCATTCGAGGCAACAATCGCTTCGCAAACTGAAATAGCGAGGATGCGTGATACATTTGCTTCTGATTTGGGACAGTTGCAGAAAAAGTTGGATGCATTAGAAAAGGAAAAGCAAGAATTGCTGAACAAAATAAAAGGCTCTAGCATCCATCACAAGTAATTTTGCACTAGCAGTTTTTTAAGTAGTATCCCTCGCTGGGAACATTTCATATTTGAAATACCTCAATTTCTGAAGTGAATTAATCTGCTTAGGTTGAGCGAAGATAGACGTAAACGCCTTCAGGAGCTTGAGAAAGAAGTAAACGAAAACAAGAAACGTATAACAGAAATTCAGCGATTGCAGAAAAGAAACATTCGATTAGAGGAACAATCAAAAAAATTCGTTATGGAGATAGCGGTGTTTTGTTTCTATAATTCTTTTTTAATTCCTTCCAGTGCTTGGAAAAGTTTTTTAAATAGATCGATTAGATTATGTGTTTATTTGTTAAAGGCGTATTGTTACTATCTCATATTTTTCTCTTACATCATTTCTTTTTGCTGAGTCATTGATCCGAAGAATATGGTGCTCTTTGATTTTTTTTGTATTGGGACTCATTTTTTCATCGTTAATTTTATCTGTGTGCAAGTTTATTTTTTTTAGGATTTGAAAAAATCACTGGTTAAAATGTCAAAGCAAATGAAGGAAGAAGAAGTGAAATTTAGGAAATGGAAGGCAACTGCTGATCGTCAAATGGAGCAGTTAAATAGTCAGGTGTATATATTTTTTGTCATCGTGGGTTTCCATTTAAAATTATATACATATTTCAGAAGGGAAGCTTTTGTAGAGTCACATTTTTGTAAGACTGGTTTTCGACTACGAATCCTTTTTCGTTTACCTGTCTATTTTTAATTTTTTTATAATTTTTTCTTAGTTTTTTTGACCAAGTTCATACATTTTTCTTAATCAATTTATTAATTTTTTCCCCTTTTAAATGCCTTTCTAACCAAGTTTATATTATTTAATACTAAAACTTTCTATTTGTGTTTCATTGCATTAAAAAACCATCCAATTTTCAATACATGGCTCTGTAAAATACAGGCATTTAACAGGGGAAAAAATACAGTATACTCAATTAAGTCATTTTTTTAGGCACGCAAGCGGGAAGTAGAATTAGCTCGGGCACAACAAAACAAGGATTTACAGTTAACTGTTTATCGGCGAAAATACGAAGAAGCAAGTGCGTGCAATCGACGGCTTCAAATGCAGCTTGCCAAATGCACTGCTCGCACCAAAACAAGTGACAAAAGGCAGTTTATTGTGAGCAGTATATCTGATTATTTCAATTCTGTGAAAAATGTGTAGTTTTTATTTTATTGTAAGTAGTTTTCATTCCGTAAGTTTAAAAAATGAAGTCTTTCTTCATCAGTGTCAGATTTGCAGTCATCTTTGGACGATGAATTGGCTGTAGCTTATTCCGCAGCTGAAGCAGAAATTCACTGTCAAGTGCTGATAGAGCAACGCAAAGTTCTTTCCACTCAACAGCAGAATTTACTGAGGAAGTTAAACGAATTAAAGGTTCAAACAGTTCATTAAAGTTCAATTCTAGCTTCATTTGGTGACACATCTCCTGTTCTTAATTTTGAAACAGAATGCAGAAAGACTCTTTGATATGAAAAATATTTTTCCATTCCAGCATGAAGCTGAATCTAGTCAGTCATTGGATTATGAAGATGAAAAGAAGACGATTGAAGAGCAGCTGAAAAGGTTGCAAAAAGAAATCGAATTAAGAGGCAGTGAGCTTGGTGATATACAAAAAAAATGTACAACAGCTTGTTCAGATGAGCAACGTGACCAACTATGGAATTCATTAAATAATCTGTCAGAAGCAAAGACAGCACTGCGTCGTTTGTTCAATGCGGTACTTTATTCTGAAATGTAATTGCAAATAATCGTCCAAGTAAACATTTTGTAATATCTTAATTTGATCTTGTAGACTGTGAATGAAAAGCGATCGTCTTTGGAAAAAGAGCTAATAATTGAAGAACAGAAGCGAAATTCGAACGACATATTAGAAAAGTATAAACGTGAGTTGACGGCAGTACAAAGAGAACTTTCGAGCGTAAAAATTCAAATGGAGAATATGAGGAAGAAATTCGCAGAATCTGAACGATGTTACGCTCAAGATGTAAATAGCTTAGAATAAGATTATCATATGAGTAGACTTTAATTCATCTGCGGCAGTTAAGATTTAAGAAATAGTGATGGAATAAAAGATAAAATCATATAATTCCAATTTTAGGAATGCGATATGATAAATATTTGGAACCGAATGGCAGAAGGACACTTTGACCTTCCAGATCATGTAGTTAAAAATTTAAGTTTGGTAAAAGGAGCAGCAGAAAACTTTGTTAAATTTCAGCAAGTATGTAAAATTATAAAGCCTGTTTTCCTGATACTCCCTGTGTAATTAAGATTTAAGAAAAGATTACCTGTAGAAAAAGTATTGAAACTAGGTTTGACAGCCCTACATGTTTGAAACGTGACATCATTCTTTGAATTATCAGAATTTACAAAAGCAAATCTACAGTCGTCGGCTTCGTCGTAGAACTGGATTAGCAGGTTCTGTGGGATCTGATATCCCTTTCCCTACAAGTGTAAGCTTTAGATTTTATCAATTTGAACGATTGGGTTATTTGAGGAGACTATAAGCTGTTAGTCTGTGATAATCAGTTTTTTATTTCTGTTACTAACATTATCAATCTTTGTTACGAGTGAAATTGAACACTGTCCGATGTCTGCAGATTCCTGAAGAAGAACAAAAAGAAGAAACAGACACAAAATATCAGTTACGACAAAATCAGAAAACAGTGGAACGTTTAGGAGCTGTACGTTTACTTTTCTGAATCAAAATCTAATCAATATGGCAATCTTTTTTTGAACTTTCTACTTTGCCATCAATATCCATAACTAACTATTTTGAAGATTACTGATATCAGTGAAATATATGCTGACGAGAGTGAGGAACATAAATCTGTTTCCGATGACGACATTTCATACCGTCCATCTTCGTCAAAGGATAGGAAGCGTTCATCCAAGTCCCATTTTTTATAATCTGAATTAATTTTTACCCTTCGTACATTTTATCTAATTAGAGATTTTCGCCAAAAAGAAAGCTGGAATTTGTATCATCTTTTCTAGTTATCTACTTTTTTTTCCAGTTACCGCATTTTGCAAAATTTTTAGTGTTACCGATGCTGAACATCAAGATGTTTTCACCTCAAGAAAAAAAATTCATTTGGATAGAGAACAAAATAGTGAAGTTCCAGGGCCCAGCAAAGTGAGTTTTCAACTTTTAAAATTTGATCGAAGCTTCAATAAAAATAAAGATTGCAATAAATGAATCTCTAATTTCGGTTATATTATAGAATCTTATTACAGGATTCCGATTTTCATTCAAATGAAACGTATAATATTGTGCAAGGACCAAAGGAAAGCGAATTGATTTCGGAGCTGAGTTCTATCCTGGATAATAAGCCAATTATTACGAGTGATCTTTTCGATAACAAATAAACTTCCATTAGTGATAGCCATGGGTTCATCAAGCACTTCATGTTATTGTTTAGTATAATTTCTCTTCTATTTTTTTATAATGCATCAGCTCCATGTAGAACTGTTGTTTAGTATTGTTTTAATATTCTGCATTTTTTAATATATAAATCACTTTTTCACAGCACTCGGCAATTAGCAGAAATGAAAATTACAAATTTCTTGGTTATCAGAAAGTTTTTGATTAGTTCACTATTTGTTCAAATAGCGTTATTTTTGGTCCTTTTCGATCAGCTAAAAAATTCACTAATGTATTGAATCGCTGATTGTCGAGTTATGTATGCGGGTTTCTGTGTTGTATTGTTTTAGATTCTCACTCACTACAGTTTTCGGGAATTCTTCTAAAAACTTCGTAACCTGCAAGTATTATGAGGTTAACTATTGTTAATTCAATTTGTCTGGTGCATTGTAATTTTTTTTCCAAATTCGAAGTTCTGAAATGCTTCCTGAACTTTAAGGCCCCAATCTATAATTTATTTATAATGAAAATCATCGTTTTGAGGTAATAAGTATATTATTTCTCATCTAATATATATGCGTTGGCATGTGAATGATCGAACTTTTGTTCAGTTTCGTTGCTATACTTTTTTAAGTGAAAAACTGTTATATATGTTGAATTATCTCTGATACTGGAAACCGTTACGTTGCATTCATAGATTTTTGTCACAGATTTGTTTCACAACGGCAACTATAAATGAAATAAAATATGGGTTTTGTCTATTGTGATTTGCTAGAAGCAAGGATTTTTACAAAAATGGTATTTAAATAAACTTTAGCCATTCATTTTTCTTCATCCAACTTGTTCCAGACTGATGCTTTTTATTAGTACTTAATGCTCATTTGTGGGATGGATCTTACTGAATTGTGATATCGTATTGTCGCAATTGTAATCTCTATTGTGAGATGGTACAGTTGCGTTTTTAAAATCCTAGAATATTGCAAATTTGAATTAGTTTATTTTGAGAATCATAATTGTAGTTCTTCAAGTTAAGGAGGCTAAATGCTAAATTATCCAAGATGGGTGCCGAAGGAATTAGTAGTTGGATATATTGGTCATGGTGTTTATGATCTTCTACCTTGGCAACAGCAAGTATTGAGCAAACGGACTTTGCGAGCTCCTCGTTATAGTAACTTGGTTTTTTCTGCCCCAACAAGTTCCGGCAAAACAGTTGTTGCTGAATTAATTGCTGTAAATACCGTTCTCCAATTACAGCGTAAGGCAGTATTCATTTTTCCTTATGTCTCTGTTGCCAAAGAGAAGTTCGTTACGTTACAGGTATGAGTTTTTAGTCAAATTTCATGGTTAAATGGAGTCTTGTAATTGAAAGTATAATTCCTTTGTAATCACATATTAGATCTTTTCTGATCAATTAATATGCAGCAGTACTTCGATATTTGATTGGTATGAGTTACACTAATCTCGGCAACGGTGAAGATAAGTTATATGCATATTTGCGGAGTTTCCCCAAATGCTTCAGAAAATATGGCGATCAGTCAATCTCCGTGTGAGCGCATTTATGGGTCAATATTCAGCCTCACTCCAGACTTGGGATGTAGCAGTATGTACAATCGAAAAAGCAAACTCACTGTTGAATCGTATGACTGAAGACAAGACTGTTTTAGATATTGGTTTAATTTTCTATCTTTTTCATCACTTTGTTGCTTAGTTTTGGAAGTAAATCATATCAGTAACTCAGTTATATTTTTGCCTTCTGTATTCTAAACACTATTTACTCATAAATCGTTGCCAGTATTACCTGTATATCCTAATTCAGTTTTATAGTTAGTTTCACTACTAGCTCATGTTAATATTTATTTTGTATTTAGCAAATATTTGTTACATTATACATTTTTCATTTCTGCAAGCACAGTTATCGTGAAAATTTTTTTTGTCCGTTCTTATGAGCAAAATTTGTTCAAACATGATTTGAAAACGATTATGAAATTTTCACCCCTCAAAAAAGAACAGTAAATGTTTTTTGTTCTAGGTTTCAAATCTTTATTAGTTAATTGATATAACAATAGAAATTGTAGTCGACACTTTCCAGGCGTATTAGTGATCGATGAATTTCATATGCTGTTTGATACAAATCGAGGTTTACTACTTGAGCAAATAGTTGGAAAGGCTTTATATATTTCTCATGTTTTAAAGTACGTCGAAACACATGTCAAAGTGATCAAATTACTAAGATAGTTGTAGGCTGCTTAATTTTAATAAAATAATGAAGTAATTGCTTGTAAGAATTAGTTTTAGATTAATTGGAGATATTGTTAGAAAATAATCTTTTTTGTTATCTATGTACCTACAGTTCTTCGTTTATGAAATGATAAAAAATTTTGTTTCAGTCATCGAATTCAAATTATTAGCCTGAGTGCAACTCTGCCAAATTTGGATGAATTAGTTGATTGGCTGAATGCTGAAAAATATGAAACACAATTCCGACCTGTACATTTGCAAGAAATGATATTATGTGATGGTCATTTGCACGATGCCATGACATTAGAATGTATGCAAAAGGTTGAAACCGAATATACATTTTCAAATGATGTAGGACATATCATTCAGTGAGGATTTAAATTTCTTTTGCTGTTTTTCTCATCGTTAAGTTGTAGCTAGTTTTTATTTGATTTTTACAGATTATGCGACGAAAAGAATCGCAAGTTTCTTTAGTATGCTATCATTTATTTGGATAACTCATTAGTTTCCTCTTCACTGTTTCCTTCACGCTCATAGTTGGTGCCATTTACAGGCTTTGTTCAGAATCTATTGCCAGACGTGAATCAGTGTTGCTATTTTGCAGCTCAAAAGCAGAAGCGGAGAAAATTGCACTAGCAATATCAAATTATTTGCAAGACTGCTGCATGTCTAATACTAATCAGAAGCTTATATCATCTTTAGATTGCACAAGATTAAAAAACTTGATGATTTCGCTAAACAATGAAGTACAATGCATAGATGATATTTTGTGCAAAACAATTCCATTCGGAATAGCATTTCATCATGCTGGTTAGTTCACTCTGCGTCAAAACGTTTGTAAGAACATTAATTTGAATAATTCGTATAGTCATATAGATTTTCGAAATTATATGTGTATACTGATATTTCCAGTTTGAATAACTCTAACGCATTTCTGATTTCAGTACAGAAATTATTTTTTTTAAATCAAAAGTTGGGTTCTAATCTTATTGATGTGATCTAAAATACAGTGTGAAATCTAAAATTTCAAACCTTTTAAGTAGCTAAAATCGTTACTAACAGAAAGCATTTGTAAAGGGTAATTGCTAACTTTATGCATATTACTAAGTATTCATGGTTTATTTCCTAGCATATTAAGATTAATTAAGATGATTACTCTAATGAAGATATCAAATGTCATTAACTGCATGAACAGGGCTCTCACTGCTATTATTAGAGTATTAAGGCTTTGCTATTTTCTTTTTTCTCCTCAAGCTACTAGTTTTCATAATTACTGAAAAATTTGTATTTCCAAACGTTTGCTCCATTTCAGTTCTTCATTACGTCTTTTGAAATCGATAATTTTCATTTTTGGAGTAAATAATCTTTGATTATCTTTTCTTGAGACTTATTTTTCATTAATATTCAATAACTTTCTTTTTTGCTTTGTCGTCTTTGTTGATTATTTATATTACTGATATGTGCAATTCATTAGAAGAAAATGAAATTATTCATTCTTTTGA